AAGAATGTGGGCTCTACCACTGCCCAGACAAGCTGTTCCAGGGCTGGATGACCATTTCCATGAAAAAATTTTCCCAATATCTAACCTAAACCTCCCCTCACATGACTTGAGGCCATTTCCTCTTGTCCTGTCCCTTGTTCCCTGGGAGAAGAACCTGACTCCCACCTGGCTCCACCCTCCTGTCAGGGAATTGTAGAGAGAGAGAAAGGCCCACCTGAGCCTCCTTTTCTCCAGGCTGAGCCCCCAGCTCCCTCAGATGCTCCTTGTCACACTTGTGCTCTAGTCCTTTCACTACTTTTCCCCATCTCATTCACAATATATATTTAAAATACATGTTTGAGTCTGAGAAGGAAGTTTTTTCCATGTAAATAATAGCCCTTTTAAGCACCAGGAGAGTAACAGATATTCTAAGCATCATTTGCCTTCCAAAGCACCAGGAGTCCTCTTCTGTGTCCTGTGTGGAAATTACCTAATGGTTATGAGCTGACTTGAAAATGTCTTCTACTGAAAATGGATGTCCTCTGCGCACATAATGTGACCGAAACAGCTTGATGGTGTGTCAAAAACACAATGAAGTGTCTGTCTGAGGTGAGGCTTATCTATAATGGGACACTCAGGAAACTTACAGTAAATTAATTAAATCAGTTTTAATACCCCCATATTTATGTAGCTGAGGGTGATGGTAAAGTGCAACAATGCCCAGTTGCAAAGTAATACAATCCCCCTTGGAGTTTATTGCCTTAAAGACTTATATTACTATTAATTTAAAACCAAGGCCCTCTACATTAAAAAGATCTGACCTTTACTGTGCTTTTCACTGTGAGCTTCTGATACATTGCCTAGGGATGACCAGAACACCTTAGGGATCTGCAAGTGTCTCACAGCAGTTCAAAATAACCTCTGTGAAGGGTGCAAACATATTCAGCTGCAACTAGAAATACAGATCCTAAGAAATACCTTGGACACAAACAGGTGCAAAGTTCAATGCCCACAAAACCAGTCTCTGGTTTTAGTCACTATTGCTTGAGATTGGTCCCTCTCAAAGGAAAGCTAAACAAACTCTTTTAACCCCACATCTATGGCTGTAAAATACATTTAATACCCAGTCAGTGCAGAATTTGTCCTTTCATCCATGTAAAAAGTTCACAAACTTCAAATATTTTGCTCTGCATTTGGAATGCTTCTACCCATCAGTGAAGTATGTTGTCTCACTGGAGGGATTTTGCAATGCTCTCATACCTCAATAAGAAGCATATCTGACCTGATCTGTGGCAGAAGTAGGAATTAGCCATAAGGTCAATTCTTCCCAAAGGTGCTACCCTGCCAAAATTTGCAATAAAATTTATTAAATAATATTTGTAATAACTTGCAGGTAGTCGACTGTCTGTCATTTTGAAGGATATGAGTCCGTCCATGTATCTCAACTTCAGTGCAAAAAGACTACTGATAAAGTAGTTTTTCCAGAAATGGCATTTAAATATTCCAGTGTAATTGCTGGCAATTCCTCACTGGCACTTCATACAGCTTTCTCCAGAGACTTCTCAAAAATACACTTAATTCTGCAGGAGTCTTTACCAGATTTTGTTAAAATTTCTTTTTGGAATTTTGTTAGTAGCAATTTTAATTATCTTCTGGCTTTGATTTCAAAAAAAAAAAAGTTCAGAAGAAATGCCTTCTGGTGTTCCATAATATCAAAGTGAGGAGCTGCCAGTGTGAGTTTAGACAACACATAAACACAAGACAGAGTCGGTAATCTGGTGATGTTTTTGACTGTTGAATTCATCTGAGGAAAACTGAAGATCACGGAACCACAGACTGGCTTAGATTGAAATGGACCTTAAAGCTCATCTTGTTCCAGCCCTCTGCCATGTGCAAAGACACTTTCTTCTATACCAGCCTGCTCTAAGCCCCATCCAGGGCTTAGAACACTCCCAGGGATGGGGCAGCCACAACTTCTCTGGGCAACCTGTACCAGGGCCTCACCACTCACAGGGAAAAATTTCTTTGAAATACCCAATTTAACCTTGCTTTCTGTTAATGTGAGGTCATTCTCCCTTGTCACAGACTCACAGTCACAGAATATTCTGAGCTGGAAAGGATCCACCAGGATTATTATAGGGCCTTCATTCCAGGCCCTTGCCCAAAGTCCCTCTCCAGCTCTCTTGCAGTTCCTTTAGGCACTGGCAGGGGCTCTACGTTCTCCCTGGAGCCTTCTCTTCTTCAGGCTGGACACCCCCAGCTCTACCAGCCTGTCTCCAGAGCAGAGGTGCTCTAGTCCTTGGAACATCTTTGTGGCCTCCTCTGAACTTGCTCCAGCATCTCCACGTCCTTCCGATGTTGGACCCCAGAGCTGGAGGCAGCTCTGCAGGTGGGACCTCACCTGAGCAGGACAGAGGGGCAGAACCCCTTCCCCTGCTGCCCTGGCTGTGGGATCAGCCCAGCACATGGGGGCTTCTGGGCTCTCAGCACACATGGTCAATCCTGCTGAACTTCTCACCCATCAATACTCTAAAATTCTTCTCCCCTGCTCATTCTTTGCCCAGCCTGTGTTTGTGCTTGGAATTGCCCTAACCCATGTGCAGGACTTTGTAGGAATACAGCTAGAAAGCCAAGCTGGGAGCACTGTCCAGCTCATGACAGAAGTGGGTATGTTAGCCTTAGTATGCTGCAAGCCTTGGCAACAGAAAGCAGAACCCTGAAGAAGGAATACAGAAGTTAGCAGTGTGCTTTGTAAGCAGAACTTCCATGAGATAACACACACCTGCACTAGTTAGTAGGAGGCTCTGAATTAAGCAATGTTACCTAGTTACATAAATGTTATAGTTGTGCTATTTTTACTAATTGCTGAAAAGCTCTATAAGCTCAGCTTTGTGAATCAATAAATGGCTCCATGTGTGCAAACCATGGAGTCCATGTCTCCTTCATCAATTGCTGTCAGGATCTTGGACACGGTCTGGTTGAACTTCACAAGGCTCACACAGACCCACTTCTCCAGCCTGTCCAGATCCCTCTTGACACCATCCCTTCCCTCTGCATAGCAGACACACCACTCAGGCTGGGTGGATAGGGAGGTTATGGATGTGGGAGCGCTGTGTGCATCTCCATCTGCCCATCCTGAGTGCTGTGTGTACTGTACTTGCTGCAGCTGCAGGAACTTCATCTTTTGTGATAACACACTGAAGGAACACCCATGGGGACATAATAAAGGGTTTGTCTGATATGGGGCTGGTTGGCACAATGAGGGGCAGGTTGGTCTGTTGTTGGGCAGGTTGGGGTGATGATATGAGGCAGGTTGGGGTGACATGGGGCAGGTGGATGTGCTATGGAGAAGGCTGGTGTGATGCAAGGCAAGTGGATGTAATGTGGTTCATAGAATCACAGAATAAGCCGAGTTGGAAGAGACTCATCAGGATCATCAACTCCAGTTCCTGGCCCTGTGTAGGACACCACAACAATCCCACCATGTGCCTGAGAGCATTGTCCAAATTCTTCTTGAGCTCCGTCAGATTTGATGCTGTGAACACTTTCCTGGGGAGCCCATTCCAGTGCTCAGCCACCCTCTGGATGAAGAACCTTTTTCTAATATCCAACTCAAACCTTTCCCAACACAGCTTCAGGCCACTCCTTCAGCTCCTGTCACTGGTCATGAGAGTAAAGACAGTGGTACATGCCCCTCTGCTTCTCCTCCTGAGGACACTGAAGACCTCAATGAGGCCTGCTCTTGTTGCTCACTCTCTTCTCCAGGATGAACAAAAGAAGTGACCTCAGTTGCTCCTTATGAGTCTGTCTAGACCCTTCACCCTCCTTATGGCCCTCCTTTGTGTGAAAAACGCCTATCACTTGTTTTTAAAATTTTAAAAGTTTAATAGTAATAAAATGGTTATAGAAATAGTAATACAATTAGAGTAATAATAATTTAGACAATTTGAATGAGGACAATATGAGAGAATAGAGACAAAGTGTTATGGATGTCAGGGTACCTTTTCCTGGGCAACATAAGCCCGAAAATGACACACGTTAACAGAGGATTAACCCTTAAAAACAACAGCCTGTTGCATATTCATACACCTCATACATGATGCATAAATTCCATTCAAATACAGGATTCTGTCTGGCCAGTGTCAGTTTCTTCCTCTGAATCCTAACAGCGCCTTCAAGGCAGGAAGAAGTTTGTTTCTTCTGATAAGAGGGCAATCAATTCTTTCTCTCTGAAAGATTTAGGTGTCCTGTGGCTGCTATCTTGCTGCGAGTCCTTTCTTTAAAAATAAAGTATCTTATGTAGCATAGTTTCTATTTTAACATTATGCTATAACCTAAAACTATATTTAACACACTTAGGAGCAATAGTACAGCGTTACTTTCTAACAAAACACATATAATATTCATTTTAATATTTGCGAAAAGCCAATCATAAAATACATCCATTTTTCACATTTGGACCCTCTGCAATAGCCTAAGGCCTCTTTTACATTGACGTGACACAGATGGATGTGACACAGGGCAGGCGGGCCTGTTTTGGGGAGGTGTCACATGGGGCAGGTGGATATGATGCTGAGCAGGTCGGGGTGATGTGGACGGGGTGCTAAGGGCGACACCATTCCCGATGCACAGCGCGGGGCCCGGCCCGGCCTGGCCGCCCCTCAGGGTCGCCATGGCGACCGCCCCTCGGCCCCTCCGCCGAACTATTTTCCGTCCCCCACGTGATGACAACAGCTCCCGCACACGTGACGAAGGGTGTGCTGTCAATCAAACCCCATCTCCTCCAATCATCGCCCGCAATCGGACGCCGTCCCGCCTTCCGGAAGCGGGCGCTCTTATCGGCGCCGGCGCGCGTTCCGGCGGTTTGACAGGGCCGGCGCAGCGGGGCGTTGATTGGCGTCAGGATGAGCCAGTGGCAACTCGAGAGGTCGCGCGGGGTCCCGCCCCTGCGGGGCGCGGGCCAATGGGCGCGCGGGAGGCGGAGCCCCGCCCACCCCCCGGCACTGCGGTAATATGGCTCCGTAGCGGGCGGCCGGCTTGGCGTTGCTGCCGCCATTAACCCCTGCGCGCCCGGCGGCCTCGGGGGAGCGGAGCGGGGCCCCTGCGTGAGGATGACCTCGGCTGCCGGTCCCGCCGCCTTGCCGCCCGGCTCCGCCGCCCGCGCCCTGCATGTGGAGCTGCCTTCGCAGCAGGTACGGCGGGGCCTCGGTGCGGCGCTCGGAGGGGCTGAGGAGGAGGAGGAGGGTGTCCTGAGGTGAATCAGGGGTGTCCCCTGAAGTGTGGGGTGCCCTGAGGTGAAGGGGATGTGCTGTTTTAGGCGTGGCATGTGCACAGGGGCGTGCTCGCTGAGGTGTGGGCTGTTGTGGGGTGCAGGGAGATGTTTCCTGAACTGAGAGCAGCTCCCTGAGGCGTGCAGGGGCTGCTCCCTGCGGTAAAGGGGGGACAGGTACTCCATGAGGGGCCAGTGGGGCTTCTCCGAGGTCTGGGGGAACCTGAGATAGAGTCCCCAGGCTGAAGGAAGGGGGGTCAAGGGACAGTTTAAACACCTTTCTCGCAGGCTGGTAGGAAGGCCAGAGGCAGCATGGGGGCAGGGGTCTGTGCCTCTCTCCCAGTGGAGGCAGGTGCTGTTTCCTCTCCCAGAAAACTACTTTTGTGCCTGCAAAAAATCAGACTAAAGGTGAGAGTTGCAGCAGGAATAACACCATGAAAATCGGTGTTAAACTTGGGCACCTCGTGAGGCTGGAGCAGCTGGGGTGTCCCCTCCTCCTTCTCTTGCAAGTGTGAGGATATAACATGAGGGGTATTCTGAAAAGTGCTGAAATGTTCTCTCCCCGTTGCGTCCTTCCTTCACCCAGCTCTGTTTTTCCTGTTTGCTGATAGTTGGCTTTTGGCTTACTGGGCATTTGTCCCATGTTTTCATTTTGGAGAGCTTTAATTTTAAGTGAGGAAGACTAGGTTCTGCCTGAGCATTGAGCAATCCCTATCAAACCGACTTTGTGCCCTTTCCCCTCTTGCATGGGGTCACTTTGATTGTACAGGAGCCGGAGCAGGACTGGTGAAGGCAGGAGTAATTTGCAAAATTTTGCTCTTTTTTAGAAATAGTGTAAGATGTGAATGTTGTTTTGGCTCATTGACTCTCAGTGCAGTGGATGTTATTACGAGTTAGCCACACAATCTGTTTTACTTGAGCTATGGTGGGAATATAAAGAGTACCTAAAGAAAAAATCAATAGATGTTAATGAAGTGGATGCATAACTGCTCTTATGATAAACAGGTTTTAGAAGACATCCACTTGGGGGCAAAGGGAGGGAAATGGAGGTGGCTGTTGGCCCCACCTGACTGTAATTTGCAAGCAAGTGCTTACTCTGAAATGTGGGTCTGCTCCGTGTTAGTAAACATAAACATGAACGCTGCTCTGTATGAACAGGAAACAATGAGATCAAGTGTGGCTTTCTCCTTGCTGAATTTTTGGCTTTATTCTTTCTCAGGCTTGTGCAAGGAACTAGTGAATGCTGCAGGGAGAAGCCTGAGATATTAGTCATTGGATTTCATTTGTGAAAGTGAGACCAAAACACAGGGTTTTTCTTCTAGGAGCAGACACTTCTATAGGAGTTCCTAGGAGCAGAAATTGAGTCACCAATTATAGGCTGTTCCAGTTGAGTAAATACTTAGTGAGGGTGCTGCTTGTATGTTAATTGTAGCAAGTGTAAGGCTGTGACAGAGACTGAGGTATCCTGCTGTGTGCTCTGCCAACAGAAGGACCATGTGCTGAGGGGTCTGTGTGCTGTGTTTACTTGGAATCAGATAGAGAGGCTCAGCTGAACACACTGATAGCAAATCACTTCCTTGCTTTGTGTTCTCTGAGCTCAAAAGTTTGTTACTGAAGTGCAAGATACCTTGAAGGGGCTTTGTTGTGGTGTGATGTGGGCTCAGCACACTGGAGCTATTTTACTGCAGAATTATGAGAAAGATAAATCATTCCTTCCATTGTACCACCTCTGTAATGCCACGGTCTGGCTGACCCAAGCTGTGTGATGCTATGCAAGGTAAGACAAAGTAACTGTGTGCTGTGTGCCAGCACAAAATCAGCTCGGTGATTTGTTTCAGCAGGCAGCTTTCTCTGGGACACCCAAAGCTACATTTGTTTGACTATAAGATGTTATAGTGACTATAAGAATTGAGAGCAGGATGGTCTGAGTAATGTCTGTAAATCTCTCCAAAGACAAATTCTCAACTGTGAATTCAAAGTGAGTGCTTTTAATGACTGAAGTGACTTTTTAGGGGCAGAAGCACTGCCAGTGTAATTTGGATTTAGTCTAGCTTTAATTGTTCCAGTAACATTCACATTGATTAGAAAACAATGTTCCTGCTACTGACACTCTTGCAGGAGTGAAAAGTTAAGTCTGAAACCTTTTGCTACTGTGATGATACTTGTGTCAAAAGTGACTGACCTCTTCTGTAACTGTGTTTGGGGCAAAGAATACTTTTTGCTGTTGTGTTCTGTATTTTAAGAAAGAGAAATAGAGGATATGGCTGTAAAGAAATGCATAAAATTCCCATTTGAATCCCTTAGTAATTGTGTGAGGATGTTGTTCTCTCTTGCTGTACAAGTGAGCACAACAGAACTGAAAATGTGAAATAACTACACTTCAGGAGCAGAGATTCTTTAGTAATATCTCTTTGCAGTTGGTAGATGCAAGAAAACTGGGAGTGTCATCATAACTTAAGGATTCCTGAATGCTCAAACTGATCAATCCTGTCATTGCAAGCAGTTCAAAGCAATGGAGGGATTGGGGACCCAAACCTTTCAGACTCTTATACATCCTCAGTGGAAGGGACTGGACAGAAAGATGCAGCCTGAGTGTACAGAGGCAGTCATGCCTCAGTCAGATGATCTGCTGAGTGCTGCTGTGCTAATTGCTGGCCAAAACAGAGCTCATGTGTGGTTGTCCAGGGACAGGGAAGCACACAGTCGTGGACTGCAGAGCCACTGCCTGGGAGGAAGGGGGATGTGTCTGCTGAGTAGGGATGTGCTGGTAAGGAGGCAAGGGGTAAATTGTGCCATTGTGCTCAGCCATGAGTAGTGTCAGACCAGGTAACCCAATATTTTTGTATCTTTCGGTTCACAAACGTCTCTTGACAGACTGTGAAAGTTTCTGTGGAGAGGAGCAGCAATGAGGTTTCAGCTACAGGTGTCAGAAGTGTGTTTTAGGGTAGAGCAAAACGGAGAACCAGTTAGTGTAACTTGTCAAGGACACTCTGTGGCCTCCATTGACATTAAGGCTGGGGTTCCTAAAGCTGGTTCCTAAAGCAGGTGGAGTTTTGTGCACTTGTATGAGTCCAAGAGCTATGCTCATCATACATGGCTCCTGTGGCTTCCACACCAGCACCTCTACCCTCAGGGCTTGTCTGTCTAACCAGCTCCTTATCCATCTAACAGTCCACTCATCAAATCCATCTTTCCAGTTTGGAGAGAAGGATGTTGTGGGGGATCCTGTCAAAGGCTTTACAGAAGTTCTGATGAATGGCATGAGTAACTCTTCCCTTGTCCCCTGATGCAGCCACCCCATCTCAGAACCCCACTGGGTTGCTCAGGCAGGACTTTGCTTTGGTGAGACCGTGCTGGCTGTGGAATCACCTCCCTGTCTTCCACGTGCCTTAGCCCAGCTCCTCAGAGGATCTGTTCTGTGATCTTCCCAGGCACAGGGGTGAGGCTGACAGGGTGGTGGCTCCCAGGGTTCTCCTTTCTGGCCTTTTTAAAGATGGGTACTATGCTTCCCCTTTTCCAATCACCTGGCACTTCACCTGACTTCCACTGTCATGGAGAGTGGCTTGGCAATTAAATCTGCCAGTTCCCTCAGGACTCTGTGATGTGTCTCATCAGGTCCCATAGACTTGTGCCCATTCAGGTTCCTGAGGTGGCCATGAACCCAATCTTAGAGTGTGGGGGGCTTTGTTCCTCCAGTCCCCATCCTGCTGTCCATCCATTCAGGATGCGCAGGAAGAGAGGTTGTCATTGGAGATGGAGGCAAAAGAGTTGTTGAGTACCTCACCCTTCTCATCAGCTGTTACCACTTTTCCAGCATTATTTTTCAGGGGGTAACACCTTCTTTGGCTTTCTTTTTCTGGGTAGTGTATGTGGAGAAGCCCTTCTTTTGCATCCTCTGCCAGGTTCACTTCCAGATTCAACTTGGATTTCTTTCTTTCAAGATGTGCATCACTCATACACAACATTTTGGGCAACATGGCAGAAAGGGAGGATTCAAAGTGTGCTGGCAAATGTGTTTGAGGGCTCTTGTGTAGGAAAAGTGAAGAAAGTTACTGTATGGGCCCAGGATTGTGCATGAATGGGACTTTAAACTAAACAATGAGAAAATAGTATCTTTTTAAACATTAGTTTTCTGTTACTCTTGTTACATATTCTCCTGAGTTATCTGGAAAAAAAAAACCTTATTCTTAAATATTTTACTTCCCCTTTCCTACAAAATATGGAGGGAGGGAGGCAATCAGAATAATGTGTGGCAAGTGTTGTATTGGAATATTGCTTTCACTTCTCTGACACACACTGTCTTTAAATGCTGAGTGGGAGGGAAGTGCTGCTCCAGTGAAAGGCCACAGTGTGAGTGACCTGCTGATCTTATTCAGTTGTATCCATACCCAGCTGCATCAATGTTTAGTGTTTGTTAGAGGCAAATTAGGAGGAGTAGTTGTTAAAGTTACTGGAAAATTGTAATTTTAGCCCCAGAGACTGGCTGTTAAGCTGGAGCTGGAATTTTGCTATCTGCTGTGTACCTTCTGCATTTTGTAAGGGATGCAGGAGTGTTTTGCAGACCAAATGATCTGTTGATTAGTTAGACTGTTAGGTCCAAAAGCTGCACTAAATCAGCTTTCATGCTTTATTTGGGATGTTTGTGGTGGGTTATGGAATGCTCTTAATTGAGCAACTTGCTAGCTAAAGACTGAAGTCTCATTTATGAAGGGAAACTGACTTCTTTGCTCTTGATTTATCATCCAGCAACAAGATCAGCATTAATATGCTTCAGGTTATTAATCATCATATGCTGTTTGCTTGTGCAACCCAGAGTGTCCCTTAATGCTTCTTTAAGGTCAAAACTGCCACTGTTTTGTTTTTGTTGTTGTTTCTGTAAGGCTCTGTTTACTTTTTGGGTGCTTCCTTCTGAGTATCATCTTG